GAGCAGTGCAAGGAGATAGGCCCAGCATGAGCCTGTGCACAGGGGGAAATGTGCCCATGTGCCCAGAGAGAGCAGCTCCCAGTTGGGAATGTGGGCCATGCAGAAGCCTGGGAGGCCAGGGAGAGCCTCAGCAGGGCCTGGACACCAGCCTGGACCAGCAGTTGGAACAGCCCAGAAAGAGGTGCCAGGAGTGGGTGGGCAGAGCAGGAAGTGTTTATTGGTTGGAGGTGTGAGTTCTGAAAATCTGGCTAATTTGCTGTTTCAGCTGAAGAAGGAAGGGAATGAAAATTTGGTTAGAGAAATGGGAAGGCAGGAATTAACATAAGAAAAGAAAACAATTATAAGGGAAAACAAATGTCACTGTGTTTCCTCCAATGCCCTGTCATTGTTTTTACCCCTTTTGCAGATGTTCATTAACAAGCTGAATTCACATCTCTGACACTAGTGGTTCTGGGACTTCAGCCCACAGCAGAATCACCTGAAGGACATGTAAAACCAGATGGCTTGGCCCACCCCCAGAGATTCTGATTCAGCAGGTCTGGGGTGGGGCCTGGGAGTGTGCATTTCTAGCAAGTTCCAAAGGCTGCTACTGCTGGTCTGAGGAGCACACTTTGAGAATCACAATTTCTAAGGCCCTGGCTCTGACGCCCAGTATCAAGAGGATTATCTCAAATATCTGTGTAACCCTAATTGTTTACAGAGCTCTTTCACAGACACTGTAATTCACTTAATCTCATGTAAGCCGTGCCCAATAGGTCCATCATTCTACATTGTTTGTCAGGCATCTGCCATCAGCCAGGTCACGGGCCGGCACTTAGGGTGTGGCAGAGCTAAGGAGGAGGGTCCTCCCCTGCTCAGCCCAGTGAGGGAGCAGGAACAAAGTCACACACCCAAGCCCACGTTTAATTAAACTAATTTACCAAAACAAAGGTCTTTTAAGTAAATGTATGGAGTGCTTTCTAGGAAGCTGGATAATTCTTTGCTTTATTTGGTTATTTAAACTTGACATTAACTTGCCTATTTAATAAGGAACAAAAGCCTAATGTGAAGCAAGATGTATGGATAGTACATTTTTAGTACGATTTCAATTTTAGCAATATTTTCCAAAGCATGGGACAGGACTGCCTCCATCAGAATCACCTAATGTGCTTACCACCAGTGGATGAATCTCTCCTCAGGCTGTCTGCTTCCGAAGTGCACAAGCATGTGTGTGTGTGTCAGTGTGTGTGAGGGAGAGACAAGAGAGGCAGAGAGACAGATCTGCATTTTAAGGAGGCCTATGGCAATGGCTTTTGTCCCCTCTAGTTGGGGGTCTGGGTGTGTAGGAATTGTCACAGGAATTAAGGGAAGACCACTGGTACAGAGCATGGCTCGGGGGTGGACAGGGGTGAGGCACAGAGCCTTGTCACAGCCAAGCAGGACTCTGAGGGGAGCTGCACTAGGAACATTCTCAGTGTGAGAGACAGCCTAGAGCATTTGGGAGTGTTCAAGAGACTCTCCCAGGAGTCAGGACCTGGTAGGGAGAGAGCCGGGGGCCAAAAGAGGCCAGGCTTCTGTGGACAGAGCGAAGGGCGTGGGAAGGACCTCTGTGCTCATGTGCTTGTGGGTGACCCTCTGAGGGAGCGGCAAGCCCAGGGGTCAGACATGGCCTTGGCTCCGTGCTGTGGGACAGACAAAGGGTCAAGGACAGCTCTTGGAGCAAGAGGAAGTGTGCCACACCTGGAGACCAGGGCACATCTCAGCAAGGTCCCCACAGCTCTTCCCTTCTCAAAGCCTCAGTCTCATCACACATAAAGAGAAGTAATAAAAATATGTACTCAAGAATACAGACGATGTTCAACAGTGGTTTTTAGGAAAATGCCTAGCCAGGTATCTGGTATTCAGGACAAGGGTAGTGAGTCTTCTGATTCTCAGACAGTTGCCACTGTCCTGGTGGTTGGGGCCAGGGCCTGGGGTGCAGTCCCCCCTTGTAGCACACAGGTGACCACAGGGAAGAAAGCTGGAAGCTGGCAGCTCCCCACAGAGCCTATTAAGACCCATCTCTCCAGCCCTCAAGGGAGCAATGCTGCCTCTCAGATGTGCACTCTTCCTGCTGCATAAACCACAGAGACACCCCTGCCCACCACATGTCTTTTTCACAGGGCAGCTCAGAAGAGGAAGAATGGCAGATTCATGAACACATAGAAATAAAAGGGAAGAGGATTCTCAGTTTCATTTTTCATCAATTTTCATGTAACAATTATAAACCTCAGCTCTTCTCTCCTTTTTGAGACATTCAAACCGTGGGATATTACAACAGAAAGAGTCTTTAGCTTGCCTGGCCAAAGCCCTGTATTCTGCAGGGAGGGGACCGAGGCTCAGGAGGTGGGCTTTGGTGGTGGATACAGGAGCTGTGCTCCAGGCCTCCCTCCTGGAACTCTCCATCAGTCTCCCACCGTGCATTTGCAGGCCTCTGCATCCATATGTCCCTGACTCAGGGACTGAGGCTCAGCCAGCAAAGGGGGTACAGGTCACCCCACCTATGTTTGAGTAGCGATGGGGGGCGGGTTTGTATCTGGTGCTCTTGGGAACAGGCCCCTGCCTGTCTCGAGTTCATGCCTACCTATCATCAATTAGCAAGCTCACTGGTATTTCTTCCTGCTGAAAATGCAGTGGGACTGGGCACAGGCAGTGAGAATACAGGATCCGATGCACCTCCATTATCCAGTCTAGTTCCTCAGCGGTTCCAGTGGCAGGAGTTCTGCTCCTCAGTGGAGACCTGGCTAGGCGAGGGTGGTCTCAGGGTCTCTGTTGAGAGTTCATTCGCTAGTTCAATAATAGCTAATGTTTATTGAGCAGGTATGCAGGCCAGGGCATTTCATGCAGTAACTCCTTTAAACTTTCGAGTAGCTATGAGGTACTACTATTCTAATTTCACCAGTGAGGAAACTGAGGCACAGAAAGGTGAAACAGCATCCCGGGGCCACACAGGCAGTAGTGGCGGAGCCACCTTGGCACTGAGAGACTGATCCCAGAGCCAAGCTCCTGTCCCCATGCTGAACTGCCTTTCCTAAGAATAGCTTGACATACCACTGTCCCCAGGGCGGTAGACAAGACCCTCAGAGAAGTTCTGTCCAAGGGCCAAGATGCACGGGAATAAATAAGATTGCAGAACCAGGACCCTGAGCCTCACGCCACTAGAACTGGGCCATGTGGGTGCCTTGGCCCATGAAAGGCACGTTGAGGGGCCCAGCAGTGCACTTTAGAGGGGTGGCAGGGGGCAGCAAGGTGAGGACAGCGAAGGTGATCAGAAGCCCACGTTCCCACTGGCCTAGCTCCTCCCGTATCATCACAGTGCAGGAATATGAGGCCTTGGTGGCAGTGGTGATATTAGTATTAAGAAATAAGTCTTCAAGGGGATATGCACAGTGGCAAGCATCTTGCCATGCAAATGAATTTGGGTGAAAAATTCATTTTAAGCCTGCATTTTAATCTCTGTCTGCATCGAGGACAAGGTACAGAGGAGGAGTTGTGGGCATAAATCTGCACTACAACACTGGTGGGAGCTTGTAACAGTCACAGCATGGTGACTTGGTATACATATGAAAACACCTGAGATTGCATTACTCACAATAGCCAAAGGTGCGTGCAACCCAAGTGACCATTGATGGATGATGGATAAACAAAATGTGGTCTGTATGTAATGGAATATTATTCAGGCTTTTTGTGGACTGCATACTTGTGTCCCCCCAAAATCCATATGTTGAAGCCCTAGTCCCCAAGTGATGATATTAGGAGGCAGGGCCTTTGGGAGGTGATTAGGATTAGATGAGGTCATGAGGATGGAGCCCCCCTGATGGGATTAGCGTCCTCATGAGAAGAGGAAGAGACTAGGGCTCATTCTCTCAGTCCTCAGTCTCAACAGCAAGAAATTGGTGCTCTGCGAGCCAGGGAAACAGGTCTTCACTAGACACCGGATCTGCTGGCACCTTGATCTTGGACTTCCAGCCTCCACAGCTGTGAGAAATAAACATCTGTTGTTTTAGCTACCAGTCTATGGTATTTTGTTACAGCAGCCCAAATTGACTAAGACAACTCTTAAAAAGCAAGGAAATTCTGACACGTGCTACAACACAGATGAACCTTGAAGACATTATGCTGAGCGAAATAAGGCAGTAACAAAAGGACAAATGTTATATGATTCAATTATATAAGATTCCTAGAAAGTAGAATGGTGGTTGCCAGGGGCTAGGGGTATGGGGAAATGGGAGTTAGTGTTTAATGGGGACAGAGTTTCAGTTGAGAGAGATGAAAAAGTTCTGGAGATGGATGACGGTGATGGTTGCACAACAATGTGAATGTACTTAATGCCACTGAAGTGTACACTTAAAAATGATTAATATGGTAAATTTCATGTTATGTGTATGTTACTATAATTAAAAATATAACTAAGATTAAATGTATTGGTGTGTTGTTTACTAGTAAGGTTTGAAACAGCTCTGTACTGTGAAAGTGCTACTCATTGAAATATAAGTGCTTGTGGGGCCGGCCAGGTGGTGCAAGCAGTTAAGGGTGCATGCTCTGCTGCGGCAGCCCAGGGTTCGCTGGTTCGGATCCCAGGCATGCACTGACGCACTGCTTGGCAAGCCATGCTGTGGCGGCGTCCCATGTAAAGTGGGGGAAGATGGGCATGGATATTAGCCCAGGGCCAGTCTTCCTCAGCAAAAAAAGAGGAGGATTGGCAGATGTTAGCACAGGGCTGATCTCCTCACAAAAAAAAAAAAAAAGAAAGAAAGAAATATAAGTGCTTGCTAAAATGGGGAAAGTTGAGACCTTGCAGAAGCCCCCTGGCTGTGGGAGCTGATGGCCGGCTGGTAGGCCCCAGAAAAGCAGCAGGCATGCTGTGGAGAGTTGGCTGTGCCCCAGATGCAGCCTCCCTAGTGTGACAAGAAGCAAAGCCTTCAGCCTCTGTCTGAAGGTCAGGAGAATAACATGCTCTTATTCTCTGATTTGTCCCCCAGGTGGAAGTGACAAAAGAGGAGGCTCTCCGGTGCATGGAGAGAAGGAAGAAGGCGATCTCCTAATTGGTACCATATACATCAGGTCAAATAATTTTCTTATTTCCTAGCCACACCAACCAAAAATTACACCCAAGTAGAACCGTGTGCAAGGTGGTGTAGTAACAGTGAACATCTCTGAGGTCACAGACCTCCCCACCTGACCCCCAATCCTGAGAGTCTTGCATCTTAGATGAGCTTATTCCCCCTGTCTTACAATCACTGGGCTCAGAGAGGGTAGACAGCGTGTCACAGATCTGGGGCACAGATTTGACCAGTGTGCCTGGCTCTAAAACAGCAGCGGTCATCACAGAACCTAGCCCACAGAGCAGAACATCCAAGTGGTTATCCTGAAAAAAGGAACGGAGGACACTCATCAGTAGCATGGGATTGAAACTCACCCTACAGCATGTAAAATTCATTACATGCATAATTATATACTTATTTTATATAAGTATATAAAGAAAATTTATAAAATTTTCCATCATCTAAAGTGGGCTCAGCAAACTTTCTATAAGGGTCCAGATAGTAAATATATTTGGTTTTGTGGGCCCCATGGTCTCTGTTTTAACTGTTCAACTGAGCCATGTGCAAAAGCAACCATAGATGAAATGTAAATGAATGGGTGTGGCTGTGTTCCAATACAGCCTTATTTACAAAAACAGGTGGTGGACACACTTGTCCCACAGGCCATAATTTGCTGACCCCTTATGTATGCAAACACAGGGATGCCTTAGCACTGTATCAGCCATAAGTGGGTTATCTACCAGTGGCCCAGCACTGATTCACTAGTTCATGAGTCACCCTCACATACCATGTGCTGGTTGCTTTTCCTCCAAGAATTGGCTGGTACAGCCTGTGGTCAAGCTGCAGGATGCCCGTTGTATCTTTCTAACTGGGATTATTCTTCCTAGGAAATTTGACATCTTTATGAATTTTGTTGGATTATTACTGTAACTATGGCAACTCTTGGAGAGATGGCAGATAGTTTAGTCATCATCTTCAGCAAGTTTGGTATTTCAGCGAACTCTGGATTCACATGGAGTCTTTTCTAAGAGCCAAGTGAGGGGTGAGAGCTGAGGGGGTGTGTTGGCTCACTGATAAAGGACTAATTGGGATATAGCAGGCAACACAATTACATTGTGAAAGTGTTACATATCTGTATAACTTGGACGAGGATTAGAAATCTAGTGACTCCAAATTAATCTCTCTAAGTGTACTCAGGTCTTTGATTTTTTAAAAACTATCTAGTCTACCTTCTTTTCAATCGGTTGTCATTGGAATTGACAGCAAGTGAATGCAGGTCGGAAGCACTGGAGCTGGTAACGACCCCTTCTCTCATATGACACATACAGAGGGATCATGTTTGAGTTTGACTTTTATTTAACGTCTTATATGAAGACTCAGGAGGTTGTCCCAAACCAGCTCAAAAATATGTCACAGCAGGCAGAACTGGTTCCCTCTCTCCCTTGGGTCTCTGCCTGTGTTCTCGCTCATATCGCCACTTGCATCACTTTTCCTTCTGTCTTCTTTCCTGCAGATGGATGGTTTCTAGCCTGCTTCCAAACCCCACCTCAGCTGAGTGTTGGGCAGCCCTTCTACATGATCATATGACTCTTGATATGGACGCAGTCCTGTCAGACTTTGTTCGGTCCACGGGGGCAGAACCTGGTCTGGCCAGAGACCTGCTGGAAGGTAAGCCCGCCTCCTCATCCCCCACACCACCCTCTTTGGTGTGACTACCTTCCAAGCTGGTGACAAAAGATAAAAAGATTTCTGTTACCTGACAACAGTGGTACTTGGACTCTTTAAAAAGTAAAAGAAGGTGTTGGTGGTGAAATTATTTTTGTTACTCTTTTTTTTTTTTTTTAAAGATTTTATTTATTTATTTTTCCCCCAAAGCCCCAGTAGATAGTTGTGTGTCATAGTTGCACATCCTTCTAGTTGCTGCATGTGGGACGCGGCCTCAGCATGGCCGGAGAAGCAGCGCGTCGGTGCGCGCCCAGGATCCGAACCCCGGGTCGCCAGCAGTGGAGCGCGCTCACTTAACCACCAAGCCACGGGGCCGGCCCCTATTTTTGTTACTCTTGACTTTATTTGGGGTATGGAATATCCTCTACGGTAAAAGTGCAGAAAGCATTAGCTAGGCTTTACGTTAAAGCTACCAGATGAGTCAAAATTTATCAGTAATTATTTTTTTAAAGAAAATATATTCAGTAGAGCAGGAATTACAGAACACTCAAGAAAACACTTTTATTGGAGACCTGAGCTTCTTATCTTTATCTTAGCTGAGACAGAAATACTTTAGGCCAAAGTTTTTGGTGAAAAAACTGCCTAGTAACCAGTAGAATAGATGGTAATAATTCACAAGCAGGAAGGCAAAATTCATCCTCAAGCTTTTAGAGTAGATATCATTTGCTACATGAAAAATGTCCATAGTCAGTATGTAGAATCTTTTCAGATATGTATTCAGCTATAATCATAATGGACTCAAAATTAATGTTTAATTTCTGTCTCAGTCCCTAAAATGGATTTACTTTGTGTATTTTTGACATTTTTTTTTTCTTGCGGTGAGGTAAAGAGAAGAGGTAGGAAGAGCTGGTTATAACTTCTCAGGACAATCAAATGTGTGAGAAGAGAGAATTTTTATATGATTACACTTTGCTTCAAGTATGTAAACTGCTGTTTGTGGAATTAGTTAACACTTGGTCCAGTGTTATAAGTCACGATGATTCCTAATTCACTTAGGAAAAATCAGAATTAGTGTACATCTGTGTGAATGGTGGAGGTAACTATTCAATCCTATTGAAAATTAAGAACCATCTATTGGAGGATTCTGAGAAAATGGTGGGGGCAATAGCATAGCTTTTAAATTTCTCTGAATCTCCCAGAATTTCAAACAAACTCGGGGTATAGAATAAACTATGCTTAGAGAATTTTTGTCATATATGTAAATCAAAGTGCTAGTCTTACTTCCCAATGGTCCTGTTATATAATGTCTCCCTGACAGTTCCCACTGCTTTTCTTAAGCGACCAGGAGTGTGAAGGAGGTTTAGAGTGAGGTTGGCAATGAGAGCGGGGGTGAAATCCAGACTCAGCTACTTACTGGCTATGAGATGTAGGGCCAATTATTTTACTTCCCTTCACCTCAGTTTTTTTAACACTTGCGTAGATTTGTGTTCCTTCTACCACTCTAACAACACAGAACCATCTCATCACCGCCCAATACCCCCTCTGGCTCTCTTTTATCTTCCTGCCCTCCCTACCCCATCTACTGGCCACCAGTGCTCTGTTTCCTCTCACTTTAGTTTTCTTTCTCTCAAGAGTGCCACATACACGAAATCATGCAGAACCTAATCTTTTGAAACTGGCTTCTTTTCACTCAGCGTAATTATTTTGAGATTCATCTAAGTTGTGGCTGTCAGTATTTTGTTCGTTTTTGTTGCTAAGCATTATCCATTCTGGAGAGGCACCACGGTTTGTTGCTCCATTCACCTGTTGAAGGGCAGTTCAGTTGTTTCAATTCGGGGCAGTTATGACTCGAGCTGCTATAAACATTTGATAACCGGGGTTTTTGTGAACATAGTTTTAATTTTTCCAGGAGAAACACATAGAAGTGAGATTGCTGGTTCATGTGGTAAGTGTATGTTTAACTTTATAAGAAACTGCCAAACTGTTTTCCAGAATGCTGTACCATTTTGCATTCCCACAGGCAATGTACAAGAGTACTAGCTATGCCACATCCTCACCAGCACTTGGTATTTCTTTTTTTTTTCTTTTTCTTTTAGCCATTCTAATGGGTGTGGAATGGTATTTCTTCATCGTTTTCGTTTTCATTTCCATAATGACTAATGATGTTGAAATTTTCTTTCATGTTATTATTTTCCATCTGTATATTTTCTCTGGTGAAACATACATTCAAGCCTTTTTCCTGTTTCTAGGGAAAATGGAGTTGCTTGTTTTCTTATAGTTGAGTTTTGAGAGTTCGTTATATATTCTGAGTATAAATCCTTTGTGAGATATGTGATTTGCAAATATTTTCTCCCACTTTGTGCTTGACTTTTCATTCTCTTAACAGTGCCCTTTGCAGAGCAAAAGTTTTTAATTTTGATGAAGTCCAATTTGTCATTTTTTTCTTTTATGAATCATGCTTTGGGTGACATGTCTGAGAACCTTTGCATAACTCTAGGTCATGAAGATTTTCTCCTATGTGGTTTCTTAAAAGTTTTATACTTTTATGGGGTTTTTTAGGTGATGAAGATTCGCCCTGAGCTAACATCCATTGCCAATCTTCCTCTTTTTTTGCTTGAGGAAGATTAGCCCTGAGCTAACATCTGTGCCAGTCTTCCTCTATTTTGTATTGTGGGTCACCACCACAGCATGGCTGACGAGTGGTGTAGGTCCACACTTGGGATCCGAACCGGCGAACCCAGGCCGCCGAAGCAAAGCATGCCAGACTTAACCACTACACCACAGGGCCGGCCCCTATACTTTTATGTTTTATACTTCCATCTCTGACTCATTTTGAGTTGATTTTTCTATAACAGGTAAGATTTAGGCGAAGGTTCATTTTTATACATGTAGATGTCCAATTGTTTCAGCACCACCTGTCAGAAAGATTATCCTTTCTCCATTGAATTGCCTTTGCACATTTGTCAGAAACCAGCTGAGTGTATCTGTGGGAATCTGTTTCTTGATGCCAATTCTGTTCCGTTGATCAATACATCCGTGCCTTTGCCAACACTACACCATCTTGATTACTATAGCTTTGTAGTGTAGTGAGTCTTAAAATCAGTTAGCGTGAATCTTCCGACTTTATTCTTCTCTTTCAAAAATGTTTCGACTATTCTATTTCCTTTGCCTTTCTATATAAATTTGAGGATTGGCTTAATTCTGTCTATTAAATTTCCTGCTGGGATTTTGATTGAAATTGTTATAAATCAATCCTAACTATTTTTTGCCTTCCAATCCTTGAAGTCAAGATAGCCATACTTTCCATTTACTTAGGACTTCTTTGCATTCTTTCATCAACATTTTGTAGTTTTTGGCATTTAGATCCTACATATGGTTTGTTAGATTTATATCTGGGTTTTTTTTGAACTGTTGTAAATGATATTTTTTTTTTTAAATTTCAGTTTCTAATTGTTCATTGCTAGCATAGAGAAATATAATTGATTTTTGTGTATTGCCCTTGTATCCTGAAATCTGGCTAAACTCAATGATTTGTTCTAGAGTGTATGTTGTATGTGTGCACCCTCATGGATGTGCATGCGTGCGTGTGTGTGTGTGTATGTATGTGTATTCCTTGGGATTTTCTACATAGGTAATCATGTTGTCTCTGAATAGGGAGAGTTTATTTCTTCCCTTCCAATGTGTATGCCTTTTATTTATTTTTCTTGACTTATTGCACTAGCTAGGACTTCCAGGTTGAGCTATTCAAAAGGTTGAATGAGGGGGCTGGTCCCATGGCATAGTGGTTAAGTTTACCTGCTCCGCTTCTGTGGCCTGGCATTCGTGGGTTCAGAGCCCAAGTGAGTACATATGCACCACTCATCAAGCCATGCTGTGGTGGCATCCCATATACAAAGTAGAAGACTGGCACATATGTTAGCTCAGGGCAAATCTTCCTCACCAAAAACAAACAAACAAAAAGGTTGAATGGGAATGGTGAAAGAGAACATCCTTGCCTTGTTCTTGATCTTAAGTGGAAAGCATTCAGTCTTTCACCATTATGTAAAATGTTAGCTGTAGGTTTTTGTAGATGCCCTTTATAAGGTGGAGGGAATTCCTTTCTATTCCTAGTTTTCTGAGAGTTTTATCATGAATACATGTTAAGATTTTTCAAATGCATTTTCTACATCAATTGACATGATCGTGTTTTTTCTTCTTCAAGCTTCTTCTTCAAAGCTAATGTAGTAGATTACATTGATTGCCTTCTAATAATTAACCAGCCTTTCAGCCATTATTTCTTTAAAGATTTTTCTGCTCCACATTTTCTCCTCTCCTTCTGGAACTGGGATGATTTGAAGGTTAGACCTTTCGTTCTTGTCCTACAGGCCCCTATAGTTCTATTCGTTTTCTTTTCAATCTTTTCTCTGTCTGTTGTTCAGACTGGATAATTTCTATTGATTTATTTCTAAATTAACAGACTCTTTCCTCTGTCATCTCCATTCTGTTATTGAGTCCATCCAGTGAATTTTTTATTTTACTTGTTGAATTTTTTCATTTCTAACATTTCCACTTGGTTCTTCTTTATAGCTTTTGTTTCTTTACTGAGACTTTCTATATTTTTCAAGAGTGTTCTCTCTTACTTGTTGAAAAATATTTATAATAACTGCTTTAAAGTCAGATAATTCCAATATCTCATTCTAGCATTGCTGTAGAGATTTCCCTGGGTTTTTGCATGGTAAGTAACTTTGGATTATATCCTAGACATTTTGAGTATTATGTTTTGAAACTGGTTGTTTAAATCTTATGGAAAATATTGTTATTTTTGTTTTAGAAGGTAATTGTCCCAGTAGGGTTCAGACCACAAGTTGCCAGTTCCTCAAGACTTCTGTGGATTGTGGTTCCAACATTGAGTCTTTGAGAAGTGGTATTTGGATTGTCTCATTGTGTAATACCTAGTGGCCAGTCTGGGACCTGGGCAGTAGTCTGTCCCATATCTCACTACTCAAAGTCTCTGGAGTCTATAT